AGGGCTCGGGGCGCGCCCGGCCCGCACAGGGCTCAGCCTGATTGGGAACAGCAGCAGTGGCAGGTCCCCTGGGAGGAGCCAGCTGACCCCTGCAGCACATGGGGCAGTCTGCAACTGACCACCCAGTAGCTCCACTGCTGCCGTGGGGCTTCCCCAGCTAAGTAGCATGCTTGAGTGCAGCACCTGGAGCAGCTGCAAAAGGCCCAGGGGCAGCAGCCAGGGCATTATAAGCAGGGAAGTGGCCCCAGCCAGGCTAGACCCAGGTGGACTCCAGGGCTGCTTTCCTGCTTGTAATATCCTGGCTGCTGCCCCTAGGTCCCACATGGCTGCTCCTGTTCTGTTAGATTTAAACCAGTTTCTGATCACTAGTAACTTCTGTCCCTAGCCTTACTAGCGGCGATTCTGTCCCAGCCTTACTAGCAGTAAGTGGCTCTAATCATGAGTAAATTTGCTACCTGGAAATGCAAGTAGCAAATTTACTCAAGATTACTTACTGAGCAGTAGTGCATATGTAGACACCTGACCAGGAGCAAATGTGCTCCGGGGCAGCAAGGGGTAGGAGATTGCTTCCTGCCCCTGGAGCTGTCTGCTGCCATAGTAGGCTCTGCCACTAGAGCCCAGGTGGGGACAATGCCTCCCCTGCCCCAGCAGCAGGGAACTCCCAGCTCCCTGTCCATGATTGTAGGGCCTGGGCTGGGAGAGCCTTACCTCCCAGCACCAGCTCTGTGGTTGTGGGGCCAGTACTAGGAGGTTCTTCTCTCCCAGTGCTAGCTCTGCAACCACAGAGCTGGCACTGGGAGATAAGGATCTCTGAGCCTGGGCCCCATGACCACAGGAATTGAGCTGGGAGATCAGTAAACTGCTCCTGGATTCTTTGCACGTGTAGATGTGCCCAGTGGCACACAGGGAATTATGTCACTAGTATGCCATTGGCTGCCTTTGACTCCTCTGCAGAATGATCGTGTATGGGGAAGACTTCAACATAAATCCAGAGCAATGTTTGGGACTCACACCTCTGCATGCATAGTGAGATGCCCTAACTAGTCCTGTTGGCTACAAATGTCCAACTCAGGATCCTTAACATTCTAGTTTATTAGGCGGATTGAAACACTGTAATCATAAACCTTGGGGCTGGTCCCCACACACACACACATGCACACACATACACACACACAGTAGCAGGCTACAGAGTCAGGTATACCTATCCTACAAGCGCTGGAGTCTGTCGTTGAGGCTTCTTTCAGCGTGGTGTTATCTTCCAGAAGGGGGTCGCCGGCTGGTCCTTCTGGCTGGACAGGTCTGGTCGAGTTGGAGATCAAGAGGGCGCCACTGAGGGTCACTTTTCACTGCCTTTTATCTGTCCTTGGCAGACTTTGGTGACTCCCCAGTTTTCAGGTTTGCCCAATCCAGGGGTCATTGACCCTCGTGGGACTTCCCCTCTCTCGGTGGCTACTGGACAGCATCTGTCAGCCCCAGGGGTCGTCCACATGTACGTGCAGGTTTGGGAGTCCATCGATGAATTTAGAATAGGGCTCTGGGAGTGGTCGATCTGGAGATATTCAGCCCAAAATTTGGTCTCTGGCGTTGATTAACTCAGGCCAGGGCTTCTAGCCCTTGATCAGTGACGTTTAGAGATTTCCCGGTTGTTACATTGTCTTCTATTGAGTTCTTCCGTTGGTTGATCTGCAGCTTCCAGGTGATAATTGCTGTGTGCTACCTGGTTACACATTCAATCACTGATTCACTCTCTTTCAGGGGCTGCCTGATACAGAGAAGGACAGTTTGATTCCTACCCTTGTTAACATTGTTACAATGTATAACTTACTAAAACACATTTAGTTGAAAGTTGAAAGGTGAGGAGTATAAAATATAAGCTACAAATGCCATGGCACACAAACAGATAAAAATACCAAAATACAAGGGGAGATACAAAATGCACACACACAAATTTCAAAACACAATTCCTTATCTTAAAGTGAAAGAAAGAGGAAGGAAGGAAGAAAAGGTAGAAGAGGAAAAACATATCCAAGTAGGGGAGAGCAACTGCAGGCAAGAGGAAAAGGGGCTTTCTGCTACACTCCAGCACTAGACCCCATCTTGAAGTACAACAAAGGAAATTTATAATCTTTTAACCATATTTTCTGGACCATTATGACAACAACATCATTTCAGCACTACCAATAAATTGTTACATGATGAACCTGTGAAGCAGGGATTACAGCAGAACTCCAGTTAACACAACTGCTTGCCCAAGACCAGATGTATTTCATACAGCTCTGCTGAATTATTCCCATTTTATAGAGTGGAAAGCTGAGTCTTGTAAGAATGAAGCTACTTGTTCATGGTTACACAGAGAGTCTGAGCTAGGAAAGCACATAAAATGCCTGACTCTTAGTTTTCTTGCTGGGGTAGATTCAGTCTACCTGGGTTTGGGCTAAGCACAGCAGATGCAGCCAAGTACAATACAGTATATAGGAAGCCTTCTGTAGTGAAGTGTTAACATTTTAGCCCTGACAGGGAAATTGTTTCCTTCTGGAGGTTTAGGATGTGATGTGGTGATGACAAACAAAGTGGGGAAGGGTGTAGGCTGTAATCAGTTTCTTCACATGAAGGATATAAAAATAGCTTTGCTTTCACTGTGAGACGGGGAAGGGATTTCTTTCCTAAGGAGGACAAACATAGTTACCAGATCTCCTCCCCCGCTCCACCCTCTGAAACGTAGCAGGCTGGACTGCGATGTAGATGAGGCCAGTCCCCTGGAGGGGCTGGCGGGAGCAGCAGTGAGGGGAGGCACAGAGGAAGAAGGGTTCTACTGCAACCGGTATGCTGGGCTCCCCTTCCCTTGCTTCATAGTGGAGGAACTAAAGCCACATCCAGAAACCTTATGAATCGCTTAGGAGCAGGGAAACATAGCAACTGCCTCTCTGGGAAGCTGCACGGACTTCATGAACCTCTCGGGGCCTTTCCCTGGGCTGCTTCCTGGGGGCTGGCGTGGACGCGGCGGTTGGGATGGGTCCTTTACCTCTCTGTCTCTGCAGATACAACCTTTGTTGCACTTCCAGCCTTGCCAGTAACTGGTGATGGGAGAGATACTGCAATGAAATCTGATAGGCCAGAGAAGCTTTAAATCATCACGCTTCTGCTCTGGCTACCAAAAGCGCATGCTTTTGCTGGCTTGGTAAGCTAGCCCTATCCTTTCCTCCGTCCCTCTGATTGGCTGGGGGATTTGCTTTTTTTGCTTGTCTGAGAGGCACGGCGCTGCCAGGACATGTAACAGTTGCTGGCTCCGCTCATCGGTCATGTGGGCTGGTGGGGTGAGGAAATCATCTGGGGAGGGCTGATGGCTCATAGGAACCAATCTAAATCCGTGAGGCTGACGCTTCCTGGAAAGAACGGGCAATTAACGCTTTAGAGTCTGAACTGAAGTAAGCAAACAATGTCACCAATGCCAAGCACCCGGAAATCGAGCCCTGCAAATAACGTAGTTATAGAAAAGGAGCATGCTCAGGATTTTCTTCCTTTGCCTTCGTGTTTCTGAGCTTATAGGCTGTACTCAAGTCATGTTTTTCAAGCTTCCTTGTACAATCAAAGGATTCTGTTTCACAAGACTGGGATCTGGGGCTTTGAGACAATGATCACTCAGGATTAAGTTAGAAGAGCTGGCAACACAAGAGGCTGGATATGGGAGGGGTGATAATGGGTTATCTAATACGTAGGCAGAAATCAAAATGGCAAGAGAATTTATTAAAACAGCTGGAAATAAGAGTACTGAAAACAACCATTGTAAGGCATTGCCAGAGACAACAGGGAAGAAATACACAACTGGGGAAAGCAAAAACAATTTTGCTATTGAGGAAGCCAGAATGTTGAACAAATGGTAGGAAAGTATTTGGAGGAGAAGGGAGGTCACAAGCAGATGTGATATCTGGTTAGACAGAATGGTAGCTGCAATATTGTCACCCTTAAACATTTAAATATTACAACTTGGGTCTTAAATCATACAATGTTTTTAAAAAATGTATTGAAGTTACTTTTTCTTTTCTTTCTAGTTTCTAAATCATAGATGTATGTTTAGTTTGCCTTGTCAGGTATGTCTCTGACCATAAAGACTAGAAATTTCCCTTAAAGATTAAAAGGAAAGCTGAGATTTGTGTACCACAACATGACCCCAAGAGTTGGGGAATTTGAAAACAATACTCACTGTCACAAATCTGATGATTAAATTCTGAAAACTAGCAGCTCTGCTGCTGTAATCTGGGCAGGAAGGAGCCTGCACATTTTAAAGTACTTTTATTTTAAAACTCCCCATTTGTTCTTGAGAAGCTTGAAAGAGAAGAATAAACGTCCTATTTGTACAGAAGTATACAAGATAAGTAGAGAGTGAACTCCAGTGAGGAACGAGGAGTAATGTTGCTAAGATACGTGATGTTTTGTGCTGTACGTCTCAGAATGCTTTCCACGTATATACTTTTCCCTTTTAATTCTCATAGAAGTATAATGAAATGAAAAGTACATCCATGTTCAAGACATTTACATATAATTTTGTGAGTAGCATGATCACAGGAATAATAACTGTCTACCAGATTACTAAATCTTAGCTACCGGCCGCTGTAGCTAATAACCACTATAGCTAAAGTCGCAAAAGTTTTCATTTTAATTCTTTGTTCTTGTGTACAATGGAAAATTCATGCTTGAGGTTGTTTTAGACTCAAGATTGTTTCTTTTTTTTCCTCCCAGAGCTTAGAGGGGAAAAAAGAAAGAAACCCTCCCCATGTTTTGAATTCAAATGGTAGTAAAAAAATTATCTTCATTAACCAGAGTGCAGTGATTACAGTGTTTAGGACTAATTGAATAGAAAAAGATGCAAACATTTTCAAATATTTCTCATTGCGCTAAAAAAATTGGAAACTGAATTCTTGAAAAATTTCCAACATGAAAAATATAAGATGCTTGGTTAATAAATGAGGAAAAATATTGGACAAAACTTTGTCTCAATTTTACCCCAATTCTTTTTCCATCAAATTTCAGTTAGTTGAACTTTCAAGATTAAAAATGTTCTGACCAGCTTTAATAGGAGTGTTATTAAAATAGCCAAGGGTTGGCTTGATTTGGCAAATAATTAATGATTTTTTTCCCATCCCGATATGTTTTCTTTTTTTGAGGACATTATTTGCAGCGTGGAAGATTGTCCAACTGAATGAGAAAGATGCCTGCTCCTACATCACACCTTTGGAATTACATCCCAGAAGAAATCCTTATCCATATATTTTACTACCTGTCTCTTCGAGACAGATACACAGCATTCCAAGTGTGCAGACACTGGGCTGCAGCAGTTACTACTAGTTCAGTGTGGCATTTCACAGAGATCAGGTGAGGGGGGTGGTTTCTAATGCTTGAAGCTGTGGATGGAGACAAATATGGGAGTATATCAATATCAATCAGTATCAATGCCATGAGTGTGCAGTGCCATATAATCTGTTTTCTGCGTAATTGTTTTTTGTACAAAAGCAGCATTACTAGTTATGGCCTACACAAACATAGACATATAACCTGTGTCAGTAACATAACTGCAAACGGTAGATTCTGTTTGTGGTAGGGAAAATAAAGTTTTTGTTGATAGCATTCTTTAAAAAGAAAATATTAAGAATTGAGAGTCAAAGAAAAGAAACTCAAGGAAAAAATGGTTTTAGTATCCAGCTCTATTTATAGTACTTTTAATCAGTAGAACATAGAGGTGTTTTTATAAAAAAGGTCAGTATCATTATTCCTACTTTGCTGAAGGGGGAACTGAGGCATGGTGAAGGTGAAGAAACTTCCTAAGCTTGCTCAGCAATTTGGGAATAGACCTCAGGTCTCTTGAGTCCTAGTTCCATGCTCTCTCAGGCCACACTGGGTACATCTACATGTACCCTTTGACTAATTAGCCCCGCAGTACAGCGTCATTGTCTATGCATGCACTGGTATTAGGGCACAGTAAATTAATTAACTCTGCTGTAGGATAGTATTTTCCCCAACTTTTCCTACCGTGAAGTAATTACATGCGCAGAAAGACATGGGTCGATGGTGACAGGGGCTGGCTGGGGCACAAGAGTGCTAATGTACAGGGGCTGCTTGTTGCCTAGCCCTGTAGTGTAGCACCCTTGTGCCCCAGCCAGCTCCTCTGCTGCCCTCCACAGCCATTCGGAGCCCAGGGCTGACCCCTCTGGCTTTCTGCCGGCCCAGGGCTGCTCCACCCTGGCTCAAAGTGCTGTAGTCCCACGTACATGTGTAAACACTGTGCCCTTGAGCTGCTGACTCTGGCACAAACTGCACCAGAGTTTATTTCTTCACACTAATGGCACATGTAGATGCAGCCACTCAAGTGCAAAGGAAAAGCTGCAGCAATCTTAGTATGCATTCCCAGGTCACTGGAATAATTATTGTGGTGCCACCAAAGCTGGATTCACAAGTTCAGGAATAGTGAAGTAGTGATTTGAATTGTACTTCATGAATCTGACTGAAATAGATGTTGAAAATAAGCTTTATGAAAACCACCAGCACCCCACACCTGCAGGTCTGTACATCCTGCTAGGCTCCAAAACTCATTCTGCTCTGGTTACTATTATTTGTTATAGTGCCTGAGGAATTGTAGGACCATTGGGCTAATCGCCAGGGCCGTCCCTAGGAGGGAATGAATTGGGGCAACTGCTCCAGGCCCCGTGCTTTGTGGGGGTGCTCTGCGGAGTTGGGCAGAGAGGCAGCTCCACGTCCAGCCACTTGTTACCCCCCAACCCCTGCTGCCGACATACAAAGTCAGCGATTATGGCTAATCGGCATACAAAGTCAGTGAGAATCTGTCTCAACAAGCTAGAACCTAAATAGATGTGTTGGAAGGGAAACAGAGTCATGAGGGGGTGAAGTGGTTGGTCCTGTAACAGTCAGCAGGCCACTGGTTGGCCTGGAAAAAGGACTCAGTACTTCTGACACCAGGCTAATGTGGGATCCACTATGCCATGCTGCTATTGCAGACATTAAATGAGACCCAAACTCTAAGATAGCACAAAAGTGTAGTATTAATAGTAGTAGCAGTAGCAGCAGTAATAATAATGGAGAGTCCTTCAAAGTAAAGTCCCTGCTTTGTGCTCACTTATAGTAGCTCCAGCAAATGACTTTTTATAATGCTCTTCTAGTTGTGATTCAGAGGATGAGGAGAGCATGCTGCAGAGTTTACACCAGTTCCTAAGCCAAATCAAACACCTGAAGATTGTATTTGACCAGTCCAAGGAGATTAACCGGAAGAACGTCACTCACATCCTAGACATGTTGGCTATGCAGAACCACAAATTGCAGAAGCTGTGTATTATGTGCCAAGGAGAGAACCCTTACTTCTACTCTGGCCAAGACATCCTACAGAGCATACGCAATATATGTCAGAGTGAGAACCACATAGACCTTCAGCACATTGATTTTCGGAGAATGCCATTCACCCTTGATGATGGGCTTGTTGGACTCATAGCTGCCAGCAGTCCAAACTTGCACAGTTTGTTCATCAACAACCGGACACTGGTTTGCAACGTTAAGCCAGAAACCATTATAGAGGTTCTGAGAATGTGTCCTAAATTGTCTACCTTAGGAGTCTACTATGCCAGCCTGTCTGATGATGTCTTTCTGGAATTGATCAAGCCAAACAGAGGGCCTTTCACAGGCTTAGATATTTTCTGTGAACGTCTGGACAAATACATCCCAGTCATTTCTGAAGAGCTTTGGGCTGCTGTCACCCAGAAGCATCCTCACCTCTGTGTAGACCTGGAGTTTGACCATACAGTTCCTGCCTGGAAGATACCACGAATCCTAAAACCAAATATACCTGTGGACACTTTACAACTTAATACTTTCACTTATATGGTGAACCAGGTTAGATTTGTCACCAACAGTTACAGCACCATGTTGAAAAGACTGGTGCTCCACACTACTCCTTCAGAGGACTTGAATGCCTCACTAATCGACCTGGCAAAGAAATGTGCCAATCTGATAGAGATTCATTGTTACTGTGTGGTGAGTCAGGACGTGGTAGGTGCCTTTCTTGAACACTGTCCCAATCTTAAAAGATATACACTCAAGATTACCAAAGAACAACATCCTTGGAAACCAGTAATAGTTCAGTGATTTCCTCATCCTAACTTATGGATTTCATGGACGCACAGATTCACAGTGAATGGAGTTTGAATTTTTAGGGACCTTTCCTCAAAACCCATACCCCAGTCTTTTCACTAGCTCTGCACAAGCACAGATATACACAGACACCTTCTCTCTTCAGCCCTAGCCAATCTTCTGTAAAAAGTACAGTGTTTGCATCTTTGCTCCAGAAATGGAGGTTTTAGACTTGGAAGTAACATGCAAAAGATTAAAGGAATTGGAATGTGTCTTTTTTGTTTGTTCCTGAGATAATATGGAGGTTCATTTTTCTGTTCCTTTATTTAAGTTAGCAATATCAGGAATGTTAACTTTGCACTTTTTTTTCCTTGAGGACCTCAGGACTGTGTATTGTTATTAATTTAAATTTTACAGTGTGGTAGCACCCAGACCAGCCCTTGAAGCCATATTCTATTGGGTGCTATTATAGCTCCTTAAATGAAGGGGAAGGAATTGGTTATCTTTAACAAAGCCTTTCATTAGCTAGAATGCCCATATTTCATTGTGACAAACTATAGGATTTATTGTATTACAATATTTCTGTTTTAAATGTGTTCATGTTATCATGTTGTGTGCCTCAGTTTACCCATGAACCTAGTATATGGTAAAGGAATGGGTTAAGAGGCAGTGAAGCAAGAGATCTATTTACAGTGTGGGACAAGACCAGACAGACCTCCAGCATCAAGAGAGACTTGAATAGATTTGTTGTGCCAAGCTCTGAAAAGTGGAGGAGGAAGGAGAGTGGTCTTACTCTATGCTGTCCCCATACCCTGCTCCTACAGCTGGGCAGTGTAGGGCCATTTCTGCCATGGCACTGACTGGGGGCGGCTGGGAAAAGCATTTTGCTGTGCCCTCTAAGTCAGCAACTAGAGTGACTGCCTTGCTTTTCTGCCCCACTCCCCCTGCCAGTTGTGCTACTGTTTACCTGTACGTTTGTCCATACCCTTATTCTTGGAAGTGGTGTCCCACTGAAGCCAGCAAAACAACTTGTGTGATCCAACATAAGTCAGGGCTCCAGAGCTTGGCTCAAACAAATACATCTGTGCATAACCCACTCCCAACAACAACTCATCCTCTGACAACATTCAAGAAAAGATCAATGCCAAAAAACCCCAAAAAACATCAGATTGGACACCTCGCAGTGGACGAAACCCTAACCTTGACCGCTACATTGACTACTTCAGGGAAAGAATGAACAATTAAATAATCAGCAACACGCGCCACCACAACAACCTCTCTCTACCAGAGAAAAAGGCCATAGAATCTCTAAGATCTAACCACCAAATAGTAATAAAACCAGCAGATAAAGGAGGAG